CAAACAGCAAACTTTTATCCACTTTAGCAACCAGAGTATACATTTATGTCAAACATATATTGGTTAAGAGACAGCTGTTTAATTAGTAATCAGAACATAATTGGTGAGTTTGCAAAAGCTACAGTGTTAGTAATGTTTATAATTTCCAGTCACCTGCGTTATCAATTCTACATTCCAATATTTTTTTCTCAAGGATGTGGCATTTCTCCTCCATGTAGGCTGTTAACATCCCTTTCTTTTCCCAAATCTCAGTCATACACAATAATTGGCTGAGTTTCACAATCAAAGCTTGTGAAGCCACTTTTTTTGAGTCAAGCAATAGGGTGAGGAAGACTCTGAGGGGTTCAGGACAGGGAAATTTCTCTCACCTGGAAATTTCCTGCATGATCCTCCTCTTTGTCCCCTTCTTTTCCTTCCTTGAGGGCGATCAGTGTGAAGCCTCGAAAGTAGGCAGGGGTGGCAGCAGAAAGTGTCACTGGTGGACAGAGAAAAAACAAAAATATTCATTGTGAAATCAGCCACTTGCATTTCATTTCATTTTCATAGCATATCATTCCACAGTTTGAAAGGTGTGTGCTCTAAGCTGGCATTAACCAAGAGCACCAACACCGTGCAGCCAAACCAGCCAGAACACAAAATGTTCAGTCCAAGTTGCCACAAAGACTGAGAAACATTGGCGCCAAATACTTCAGCATTTTTCTTTTACCTCCACTTTTTTTTTTTTTAAAGCAGATTGATTGATCAATACTTCTTATATAGTAGAAAAATATAAAATAGGCTATCTGAAAATTTCTAGAATTATGCAGCTTTCTTTAGGTCTAAACCCCATGGTGTTTGTACAAATACCCAACCTTTCTGACTATATGTGAGAGATTTATTTCAATTTTCAGCCTTTTGAGTAGTGCTATGCTTAGACCTACAAATCTGCAAAAATACCTGTACAAATCAGGTAGTGATTGCCATAATAGCAAGTCTCCCAACTCTCAAGATTTTCAACATACTTTTCAATCAATGGAACCTTATAACGAGGTTAAATGTCATCATTTTGGGTGAGAAAGAAAATTTCCTGTATTGTGTACCAAAACTGAGTAGCTGTATAACGCCATTAAAATTTCTACTTACTTTACAAAGCATTGCTCCAATTCATTAATTCATTTTCTGCCAAATAATTAGCATGATTAATCCAATTTTGCAAACTTCTGCAGCTCTATCTGAATGAAAACCCACAGGCAGCCTCTCAGTAGCAATAACTGAGAACAGCACACTGCTGAAGTCAACAGAGATGAACACATTACTCCTGCTTGAACACTGATTCTTAGAAATTAACTGCCATAAAGGTCTTTTATGTGCAACAAATTTTTCCCTATCATATGCAATTAAAGACTCTGAATCACTATGAGTAAAAGGTTACACCAGAAATATTTTAATACCKATTCAAGCAAACAGAGAATCCAGCTGTGAATTGGCTCAACAGTTTCCATTTTCCTCACGAAGTTACAGATCAAACCAGTTTTTCAAAATTCTAAACACCTACCTCTAAAACAGAAAAGATCTAAAATGCTGCAGAAGCATGAGAAAAAAAACAAAAAAAAAACACAAGGAAGGTAATTGCAAAGCCTGACTCACAGTTTTTGAATGCCTGGGGGTTACAGCACTCCTGCTGTGGTTGCAGTCATTTGAACCCCAAATCTCTAATTTCTTCACAAGTTGCATTTTTTTTGGCACACACCTTAAACGTGCCATAAAAATAAGCAATTTTATTTACATTTAAATAGCATGAAGCTTTCCCCAGTGTTCCCAGCTAAAGGAGGGGTGATCAAAGCAGGAAATCTGACTTTTCACATCCTACACAACTGCACATCCTCTACGTTGTACATTGCACAAGTACCAACAAATCCATGCTCTAAATTATAGAGATTTATCCATATTTTGTGAAACATGGGAATTTCTAATGTTGTTGCAAACGAGTACTCATTCTGTAAAGTGTTTGCATTTTAAGGGRGGAAGAAAGAAATGGAAAGAAAAAGACTTGACATTCCTCAGAGGAGAAGTCTTCAAACCAAGCAAAGGAGCACAACGCCTCAAACAAGAATTCCTCCAAAACTGAGAAAGTGAACTGACCTACAAATGGAAATCCCATTAAACCCAGAAACAGCATCCACACAGAAGGTATGTTTAAGAGTTAGAACTAGCCTAACCCTTCCTTTTCTTCTTCAGAAAAACAATTTCATGGGATCATAGCACAAAGCATGTCTACTGCATATTTGCATGTGGAATGGACACACTATTGCCTTTTCATAGAAGCAATTTTATTTACATTTAAATAGCATGAAATTTACCTTTTTTTTTTTTTTTTTCATGGAAATCTCGTGCAATCATTAATCTAACTCTCCAATCAATAAAGGCAGGAGTGAGTATTTTCAAGGATCATTATCCTGCAGCACCATCCCAACTTAAGGCTCATGTGTGCCTTTGAGAGAGTAATGAAATGAGAGCTCTGAGCTTCAGAGGAAACAAGAGCAGCTCCATCAAGGCAGAGAGGAGAGAACCTCGACCTCAAACCTGGTCCTACACAAACACCTACCCACYACATGAATTTTGGTTTCACAAGGGGGAAGCAGCAACTTTGCAGCCTGAAATACCAGGGTGGACACCACTGGTTATAGCAGCAATAATCCCAAACAAGGTGCCATAAATCAGTCATGCCAGCTGCCCTGTGGGCCACCACAAAAAAAAAAAAAAAACACCAAAACCACAGCCACTGGTGCTTTGTGAGGTGTGAAGGAGCAGAGGATGGCTCCCCCCGCCCTGCTGTTATCATATTTTTAATTATCTGACAGGAGAATGTGTTTTTATTTAGTGGTGCCAATGACTGCRGGCAGAGGAGGCGAATATCCACTCAGAGAAGTTATTCAGTGCTCACTGTTCACTATCACACCTCCAGAGGTGGAAAATCAACCACAGATCCATCCACACAGATCCACCCAGGGTTTCCTCTCAGGGCAAACAGATTCTGATGGATCTAAAGGTGAATAACTGCAGGAGAACCATAAAAACCTTCCCCAGAGGCAAAAAGCAGCTGTGAGCTGTGCTTTCCTGACTCCCACTCTGCAAACATGCTGAGATATTTCCTCCASTTTGAGAGGCTGATGTGCCACATCAACCAATGTCACCAAGATAAATGGTTGTCCCTAAACTGTCACTTTGGAGGAGCACATTTGCATGTACAGTTAATTCTTGTGTTATCCACCTTGCAAATACTCATTTATTGCAAGAGCCCAAGGATCCACATTGAATTAAACCAGGCAAGAGCCATGGAAACAGGAATATCTGGCTCCAGTGTTAACAAGGTTGTGCAAGGCTTCTGCCACGTTGATATATAGTCATTTGCAGACAAACAAACAAACAAACCCCTACAGACCTGTTAAAATATCTCATTTTTTTAGTCATTAGCTGGATTTCCTATCCTTTGCACAAGACAGCAGCAAAGTTCCAGTTAGACTGCAGCAAATGAGCTCTCAAAACTTTGTGTGTGTTGTCATTTTTTACAGCTGCTGTAGATAACATTTATGTTACAGCAACATTTATTTATGTCCTTCCAACCATTTGGGAAGTGTCCTTAAAGAACTATCTACACATCCTAATGTGCCACATGAATACTTCAGTCCTAAGTATCAGAAACACAGGCACATATTTTGTTCCACATTTGAACTTTTTTACTATTAGCTGTAATTCTCTCACTTCCAAGGAGCTATAATAGCCTAATGTGATTTTATTAATTGAGTTCCTAATACCAAGACTTAATATCTCTAGAAAATTAGTTCTGCTAATTCATCTGGGAGTTTTTTTCTTCCTACATTTCCCTTTCTTCCTACATTTCCATGCAATAGAAACTTSTTTGGTAGATGACTGAAGGTGCCCAAAAATGTCTCTACAGAAGTAAATTCCAAAACTTTTAAAGAGCCTTCACATTTGTCACTATCAAAGAACTTGGCACATTTTTGTCCTGCTTAGTAGATGTATCAAACTGACATGAAACACGAAATCTTTCAGGCTCAAGGTACTAATCCTGATGTCTGGAACAGCTGACCAGCTTGTGGGTAAAGTGCATTTCCTCACACCACACTAAAATAAAACAACTTATGAGAAAAAAAAATAATTTATATCATGCCAGTTAAAGACTGRTACTCAAAACAGGTAAATCACTGCTTTAGGAATATTTTTCAGCCTGAAAAAACACAGTGATTATGCTATGTGCACACTTTTTCTCCCTATCTATACTAAGATTCCCATGTTCATGCAATGGGAAAACATTGCTTTTTACCCTGGATCCAAGAAACACATAGAAGAATCTCTCAAGTATTTTTTCCAAAGTGACTCGTACAAAGTACGTTAACTATGGTRCCTAAAAAATGTCCAAATTCTTTTTAAATTTCTTTTAAAATATGAAGTTAACAGTATTTTCCAAGGTTTATATCTGAAGGCATTATTTAGTGAGGTGGGAAAAGTGACCAAAACCTGCCTTTGCCTATTAATTAGTAAAATACACCCAAATGAGCTTTGGAAGTTCATTTCAAGGATGGTATTTGACATGCTCAGGGAAGAAGAATGCCTCCATCTCTTATTTACAGTGGTCGTTAGCACTGCCTCTGCCTCTTTCCTGTTTGAACCATCTGTTCATTTACCCAGAAAAAAAAAAAAAAGGGTGGGATAAACCTAAGTGGGAAATGTGGGAAGTTGGCAGTGTGCTGCATCATGTTTGTCCATATGCTAACTCATTCTATTAACATTCATATTTCAGGGCAAGAACAATTAGCTCCGAGTTTCCTGCTGAATGTTAAAGGTTCTCCCATGCACTGGGCTGCATTTAAGGGGATAGGAAGAAATCCCACACAAGTGGATAAACGGGGGAAGAGCGTGGTTTGTATCACTGCAACTTGTGATCTTGTGCCAGCGTGGAGCCGSTAGAGAGGATTCATAAAAGAGAGGAAATTCCTCTTAATGAGGAATGCTTGGGAGTAAAGTGATACACTAAAACCCCTCTCACTTGTCATGGAAGCATCCCCAATAAATTATAGCGTGCAAGTATATTCCCCTGCCTTAACCCACACAGTTACACACACACACACATCCAGAGATGACAGGCAGAGACATTACAGCTCCAGAGCCACTTCTGCTGACATTATCATTACTATGGGTTGTAGAG